TTATGCTAAAAAAAATGCGCTGAAGATGTTGTGGAGAAGGACGACGAAGGCTTCGCAACTAAACCAGCCAGCTCAGAGAACACTGCTAATTGCAAGTCACACGTTTTTCCATAATCCTGTTATCAGCATCAGCTCATGCTCAATCCTGTAACCAATCAAATCTCTGCAAACCATTACTTGACGCCTGAAGTTTCGGTAGCAGTGATGGTGTTTATTTTTTACGGGATGAGATTACCAGCACCATGCCAAACCTTCCTACTTTACCAGTCTTATTATTGGCTTAGCAAGGTAAAGGAGTGCGTCGGCTTTAATGCTTTCTTCTACAATGTATACCTGAGATTGTACAAATTGAAAATGAAGTCGTTGAGTGGAGAAATATGTCTTCACTCTGAAGAAAACTGTGTTTTTTATTATTCTTAAATAAGAGAGTATCTTTCTTCATGGTGGCAATAGCCAGCTAGTTTCGATTAGTGTGTAGTCAATAAAAACATGAAAAGAGTCAGTTTGTAAGGATTAGATTTGTTGTTACGAGTTTCACTACGGACTGATGTCAGTTAGAGAACCATTGAAAACCATTCTTTTCATCCTAGTTTCATCCTCCTTGGTTTTCAATGGTTCTCTAACTGACATCAGTCCGTAGTGAAACTCGTAAAAACAAATCTAATCGTTACAAACCAAACTCTTGAAAATTAATCTGATGCTTGCTAGTGACTTGCTACAGGACGGAGTTTCTCGGAGTTCTAGTGAGAAGTCGTGACCAGTAAGGTCTAATCAGTCAATTGTAAGGATAGATTTCCCATTGATGACAGTGTTTGGGGTCGCGCTAAATCACGAATTTGTAGAAGTTAGAATTCAAGGGCTAGCCATTGAATCAGGTCTCAGTGGCTGAATGGTATACGAACTTTCCTTTTAACCTGAAGTCTTGAGTTCGGACCCTGGTGGTGAATGCCTACTGCTGAAGAGTCTCAGATCAGCTAGATGAAGTAGCTGTCCAGTACCCCCAGCTGGTTTTCCAATGGTTCTCCTACTGATCTCAATCTGTGGTTGAACTCGTAAAAAACATGAAAGACAGGATTTCAAGGGAACATAGAGAAGACAGGAACGAAGCTGTCTAGCAATAACAACTACAGGCACCAATCACTATTAACGGGAGAAATTCGAAGAAAAAGTGACACCTTTCACTTGTACAGTCTGGATACCTTCAAATCAATCAGAGGCAGCAAGGCTGAGGATGCTAATGTCAGCCACTATCGGAAACGCAAAACAGGCATTCAGTTATCTGAAACTAGTTTCGGTGAACTCAGCATATGGAATAACATCTGGACCTTCGACATAAATGTCAAATCAGTGCCTCTGTATGTTTCATACACTTGGAGCATGAGACATGAAAAGCATTTCGAGCGGGCTACTGCAGACTTTTATCAACGGTCACCTTCATTCCATACTTCAGAACACACGGTCGGCCAGAAAGGACAACACAACTGGAAGCTCTGGGAATTAAAAAGCCAAAACCACATTGCCCAACAAATATGCTGAAGAAAATAGAGATGGATCGGACACATATGGAAACTGTGGAATGAAATCACACGGCAGGCAGTTGGTCAATTGGAAACTGAATGGGAAATTTAGATTAAAAAGAACAAGAAGTTCAGCAAAGATATCTGTCTTTTCGGTGATTTCATTCTCAAAAGCAGCTGTAAAACCGCATTTATATAGATTATTTTACATGGATACAATTATTATTTGTGTAATTTCACATAGTAACGAAGGTGATAATAATTTTCAACTTGATATGAAAGTTTGAAGGTACGAATATAGATTACAAGGGGCTTAGAGACAACATTTCATAGGATTAGAAAACAGTTACAAAGTATGCATAATTAATATTTGATACCTGGAGATATAATTTTAAAGGCGAATAAAAGATGCTCACTCAGGCGGGGACAATCTCTGTAGGTTGAAAGACCAGGTGGATTCAATTAGACAAAATACACTGTGAGGCCAACTAAAAAGGCCAAACTAGTAGTTTGGCGTAATCAGATTGTCGGAACATAAGAATTTAGCTATGATGAGAATGGCTGACCCCACGAAAATAAGTAATTTAGAAAAAAGCTCAGCAACTGCACTGCATGCATTAATACACACCATACAATAGCATGGTGGGAGAGAGTCAAAATTCCAAGAAGTAATATAGGTAGGTTGGGGAAGGCAGAGGTTGATTACTGAATCCTTGATCATCGAGTCCACACCCAACACAACACATGCATCAGAAATGACTCAACGCAAATACCAGAAATATGGAAGATATTATTACCACCAGTCAAATCAGAAGAGGATCATAAATAATCTTAAAATTCAATTCAATTCACTTACATCACAACATTCTAACAAATTACTTATTTATTTTGACTATAAAAACACTCGTCTTATTTCCCATCTGATTGTATTTGATCAATAACACTCATATCTCTGGGAGCGAACCAACCAGGAACCGATTGTGCAACAAATAGGCAGCAGGAAATGGAGATGGATTGGCTGGCCATACTCTGATGAAACAAATCATCAATTGACATCACTAGACAGGCCATCACTCGAGTGGAACCCGATTGAATGGCAAGCGGCAAGCTGATCGTCAGTACAAGGGTGACTTGGAGCCAGGTGAAAACTTTAGCAGAGAATCGAAGGCAATGGAGACGCGCGGCTGAAGTCCTATGTTCCTCTAGGAATGAAAGGATATAATGATAATACTCATATTATTATTTCTGTATGTACACTATCCTACATTGATTTTTATTCAAATGTCTAGTCACCAATTCCACTCATGTATATAAATGAAGGAAGAGAGTTGTGTGAGTAAGTGAGTGACTTGATATGATTATGAGTGGCAATAGTTTGTGCTCGAAACGTCATCAGTTAGTATTACTGGATAACACCACTGTGTAATTTATCAAATCAAAAATCTTATCCATAATGGAATTGATTACTTTTGTCTGTTTTCACACCATCCAGTCTACTTGTATTGGTTTTGTTTGTTTTCTTGACCTGAAGTTTCAAAATTTGTGTATGAGATTTCTTTCTTATCGATTGGTAAATTTTTATCTCTCTTTAAATATTCCCATTTATAATATTAGAACAAGATATATAAGCGAACAATACTGTTGTTTTCAATTAGATCTTCATCAGGCTTCACTCTAATTTACATAGACTTATATATATATATTTTGTGGATCAAATAACAATAATAGTGTGGTAAATGTTTTGAACGTCACTAATAACGATGATTGTAATGACGACAAAATAATGATAATAAGGTTTATGCAGGTGGTGATAAGAATAACAAAGGTAGTAATATGCATGTGTGTGTGTATGAAGACAATGCAATAAATAAACTCACCAATACTGGTAAAACGTTTTATATTATAAATCTATGTAAATTAGAGAAAAGCCTGAAGAAGATCTAATTGAAAACAACAGCAATATTGTTCGCTTATATGTCACGTTCTAATTTTATCTATGTCAGTGTGCCTGTTAATTGGCGATTCACTGGAATACCAGGCTTCCGGAAAATTCTCTCGCATTTTTGATGTTTCCTTTGTCTAATATTTGAAAGTTGTCCCAGTCGAATTGATGTTCGTACTTGTCTGTATGCAGCGATATGACGCTGTGGATATCATGTATTTTGATGGCTAGTTTATGTTTATGGATACGAAGACGAAGCGGACGTCCAGTTTAGCAAAGACGGTATTTTTCGCAGTCATTGCAATCTATTTTGTACATGATTTTGGTCCTGTCTTCTTTCACAGCCAGCCTAGTGAAGAGATTGTGTTGGTTTGTGGGCTAGATCAATTTTTAAATGTTTCTGGGATGTCATTTATATATGCTAAGACTATTTTCTTTGTATTTTCTTTGTAGGCCATTGATTTAGTAGGATATCTTGGGGGTATATGTATTACAATGAAGTTTCGTGGATACTTATTATTTTCGAAGACGTTCATGATATGTTTTTTGTTCAATTTTCCTTAAAGTAGAAAGACTGTGATAAGTTCTGGCTCTCTTGAATACTGTTTGTCTGCAACTATTTTTGTGGGCTATTGCATTGTTGCTATTTTAATTGAGTACTTCGAACTGAAGATAGCGGTAAATATTTTGTCGATTAGGAAAGAAGATGGGAAGTTAAACACTAGTGTTTACACTAAACCCACTTATTCAAACAGATATTTGGACTTCCGATCATCCCACCCAGTTCATGTCAGTGAAAATAGGATTGGTGAAATGCTTAGGTAATACAGTACAAAAACTAAGTAGTACCAAGGAAAATCTAAGACAGGAAGCGATACACATAAAAGAAGCTTTGAAACTTAATAATTACCCTGATAAATTAGTCAGAAAGTATGATAGTAATGATAGTGATAATAATAATAATAATGACGACATGCATGTCAGACATGCACAAGATAATGACAGCACCAACAATAAGGAATCTAAATCATTAGTAGAACTTCCATATAAAGAAGGAACCTCGGAAACCTTACAGAGAATTCTTAACAAGGCATCAATAAAAGTGGCTGCCATTTAAACCACCCACAAACTCAACTAGAAACATGCTTTGTCCGTTAAAGGATCAATCCTGTGAAGCCTTTAAAACAAAACAATTTACTTTATCTAATACCCTGCCTCCAGTGATTGTCAGGTCACGTACATAGGTTAAAGTAGTAGAAAAGGTGCGGTCAGACTAGTCGAGCATAAAAACCTAGCAAAATGTAGATTAGTTGACCCGAATAAGATAAGAAATGTAGAGAATAGTTCAGCTATAGCACTACACACTACAAGCAATTTCACACAACCATACAATAGACTGGGTGGGATAAGATGACAGTTTTAAAATCCAATGTAGCAGCAGGGTGGAGGGAGAGATCGATAACATAAGCTTTGTTTATCAAATCAACCTGAAATACGCGCATTAGGAACATGATTCAACATCTGTCCAGTCGGATACCTGCAAAATTCTACTACCCCAATGACGACAAATAGGAGAGAACAAAGAAAACTGTAAAACTCACGTTTCCATATCGTGTGATTATAATTTATGGAATGATTATGAACAATAATGAATTGTGTTCGAAACTGTGTCATCCAGTAAACAGTAATACTGTTTCACTCATTGTGTGATATATCTAATTAACAAACTAATATGGAGACCATCCAGCTCAGAGAACAAATTTGCATCGAAATGTTATATTTAGAAATCCTGGACGAAGAGGAACTATCATGCAATAAACTCCGTTGAAAATTCTGCGAATCGTATAAAAATTGTTCAGAAGGAAGCTGTTACTATTATTATAATTATTATTATTAATATTAGGACTAACAAAATTCAATTCAAGGATACTTTTAATATTAGAATTAATTGCCAGTCCAATCGCGAACATTCTTCCCCAGCTTCCCGTGCAATCGACTGACCAATGCAGCTAGAACACATTTAATCAATTTAATTTGTACAAGATTAGCTGAATTTTGTTCATTCAATTTATCGATTAGTGTGAGGATTCGTTTCGAATTAAAAATTTGAAATAAATCACTGCAGTTCACTTCTTTAACTGACTGAATTAAATAAGGATATTGATCAGTTAACCAATCGATAATAAATAATGATCTGATAATGGTTGAAATAGATTCTTTCTCATCTAGATCATCAGTAGAATGAATACCTGCCAAAGAGGTAGTTGTAGCCGTTGTCGTAAGAGAAGGTCGATTGAATAACACTTTTGAACATAATAAATTAAATCGTGTACATGCATGAGCTATGAGACAGTCCAACAAGTACATAATTGATTGTTTTGAGTTTATAAGCATACTGTGAATGATTTCTCGGATCCAGTCTTCATGAGAAGAGGGATCATCTCTCGGTGAGCTAAGTGTAGACGTACTAAGTTTCACTGATGCAGACGATGTGTTGGAGATTAATTCACACAGCAGACAATTTATTTGATAGTTTAAATTGTGTACAAAACCACCAATATCAGAATTCTTGTTTAAAATACTTCGTATTGTAGACGGTGAATTCGAAGTTCTGGCATAGAAATAGTTTATCCAATCACTGCAACATTCAATATTGTTACTGATTAAATCCTTTGCAAAGTAAGTAAGCAAAAACAAAGAAAACTAGACACCAACTGGTAATGAGAGAAATAAATTTTAGTAAGAATCCAGACGGTACCGAAGAAACTGCTATTTATGAGTGTTGAATTTAAAGGTGATATCGCAGCGGAGATCCTGAAGAATCACTTAAGCAGATCACTGAGGAAAGACTTCTTTATAGCTGAGCTATGTATCAATTTCTAAAGCCGACAAATGATCAACGAATGTGTGGAGGATAAACTGCCGCTTTGAGCCACCTCAGTGTGTGTTTATAAATTCACCTGCTCGTGTGGAGCTAGTTATATTGGCCGCCCGCACAAAGCGCACGCTTTCCAAACGCATCTCTGAATATTATCCGGCATGATTAGCAAAGGGACAATGTAAGACAATTACTAGCTCAATTGTCGAGCGTTTGGTGAACTCAGGCCACGTAGCTCCTTAATTTTCTGTCATTATTCTTTCAGAAAGGATTCTATAAAAATTGGTTTATTAAATTGCTTCGGGGATTTCACCATGAGCTGACATCAGTTAGAGAACCACTGGAAAACCAACTGGGAGTACTGCCAGACAGCTGTTGCGTCTAGCTACTTTGGGACTCTTCATCAGTACGCACACACCCCCAGGGTTCGAACCCAGGACTATCTGGTTACAAGGCGAGTTCGTAGACCACTACGTCACTGAGACCTGATCCAATGGTCCTTGAATTCTAACTTCTACCAATTCACGTCACAGCGCGACCACTTCACAATGTCTTCTTCGTTAAGTTACTGTCTCATCTGCGTACTGATGAAGAGTCACAAACTAGGACGAAACAGCTGTCCAATACTCCCAGCTGGTTTTTCAGTGGTTCTCTAACTGATGTCAGCTCATCGTGAAATCCTCCATGCAATCAAACAAATTCCCTACAAAACCAATACTTGTTTATTAAATATTGCACGCAGACACACACATACACACAATCAGTGAGACAGCACTGTTTGTTCGATATTGACGTTTCGAAAACAATTTATTACTTTTTCGTAATTATATCAGTTATTAGAACAAGACACATAAGGGGATAGTATTATTGTTTTCAATTAGATCTCCTTCAGGCTTCACTCTTATTTACCTAGATTTATTTATATAAATTTTAAGTAATGGCGACTTTGTCGATCGAATAATAATATGCTGATTGCTTTGAACGTCAGTAATAACGATGATCATCATGATAACCAATAATAATGATGATAAGGTTTATGTACACACGGCGATAAATTGAATAACGAAGGTAGTAATATGTGTGTGTGTATGTAGATAAGTCAATAAATAAATAAATCAGGTCAAATCTTAAAATGAAAGTACTAGCCTAATCATCCCCCAGTATACTCTAACAACTAGTGTGTATATGTGCAGATTGAAACTCCGACTATGTTATCAGTATGATTATTACAAAATTGTCCTGTCATTAACCATCATGTAATATTAATTTTTGTGGTTGTTCTTTGTTCGGCATTATTTAACTGACAGTCTTGTTTGTGGACGCCACTATCACCATCTTAAAAATTTTATATTATGCATGATTCCTCACACTACCACTACAAACACCGCATTAGTGCTGACAATAAAAAAAACAACCTGAAATGTTTATTCTATGATTTTTTAGTGTTGTTCAATCAAATTAACTGATCATCTTGGCTATAAACATTTTTAAGAACATCTCATAATTTCTTGTATGAGTATAGCTGTTATTGTCCACCACGCATACACATATCATAGCTTCCACTAACCAGTACTGAAATATTTTTCATTATTGTTGTTTATCTTCCTTTCTACTCGGTATTTTTATTTGCATTTTTTTCTTTTGTTTTTTTGTTGCTTCTGTGTTTCTTTTTTGGTTTTTTTTGTTGTGTTTTTTTATATATTTTATTTTTTTCGTAATACTCCGTAATACTCGTAAATGTACGATGAAATTAGATGGAATATTGTAGATATGTGCTGAAAATTTCACACTGTACCACAAGTACCGTTTCTGGAATAAAGCGAAATTGTTATGTTATGTTATGTTGCATTTTAAATAAATGGCGGATTGCCTGTGATACGGTATTACCCTGGTTTGTCTGTCTTCAGTAGGTTAAGTTGTTAACTCCAGTGGACTCTGGCAAATGTTTGAGGTATGCTTGAGAGGCTGCTGTACGGCTGAAGGGCAATGCAAGATGGTTTGTAAAGTACATGTATGTTTTATGGACGTTTGAAGAGCCGAAAACCAGAACAACATCCATGTCTGGCTACTCAGCTTGTACCGGTCTTTCTGGGCCACTTCTTGGCTTTGTGCAGAGTTAAGGGGCTCTGGGTGGCTTGGGAAGTTAACATGAGCGACAGGGCTGGGGATTGAGTGGTTTTGGCTAACGGATGGCGGTGCTTAGCTAGGTAAACTTCAACGTGGTCTCAGGAGAGAGTACTTCAATAAGACCGGTCAGCTGAGTATGGTGTCCCAGGGAGTAGCGGATTGCTGGTCGGGATCTCACCATTTTCAAGGCCGGTGAGGCAGTCTCAGTGTGCATTGTCCTTGATTATGGTGTGCTGGTATTGACCTGGAGGGGTACCATCAGCTATCACGGATATCGCGAAACAAATGATTCATTTGTCGTGGACTAAATAGTCAACTCTCCATACACTACTGAGCGGTCTTTGGCTTAACTTGAAATAGCGAAATCAATACACAGGTAAAACAAATAGACAATTCATTAAATAAATAAATCAGGTCAAATCTTAAAAGTTACGTAATACTAAAGGTGAAATGGACAGATAATCAGAGTTTAAATAAATATCATTCAAACACTAAGGAAATCGAGAATACGAAATTATAGGAGGGTTTTAATTAGACTATGCCTAGGCCAAGGGAGAGACAAGTGTATAACAAACTTCTTGCATGTGCAAAGCCTGCGATTACTCTCTCGAATTGATTCCCATAGATTTGGCCATGTGTAAAAGACGGGTTCGAATTCCTTTCAAAGGGCTCCATAGAATGCACCATAAAGGCACTTCTCCTGTCCACTTGGTGACCACTATCACTAATCAAATGAGACAATATAGAACTTCTAATAGGTTCTATTCGGCCTTCTTCGAACCATGAAGGAAGATGCCCAGTAATGATGCGTTTGTTGACCTTTCTAGTTGTTCGCCCTATATAGCCAGCTTTCTCCAAAGGAGTAACTAAATTTGTAAATGCACATAGAAGTGCCACAACTTGGCACTTTATCTTTCGTGTAAACAAACATAATTTGTAAGTTGAAAAATGGCACACAAAGTGTAGCAGTGATATTTAGGGTGAACAAATGATCACCTCAACAAACGTGTTAACGAGCATCTTCTTTAATCTTTCGAAAAAGGCCAAGAAAATCTATTAGAAGTTGTATTTTGTCTCATCTGATTGGCGATATCAGTCAGTAAATGGACAGAAGAAGTGCCTTCAAAGTCGTCTATCACATTTCATCGAGGCTTTCGAACGCAATTCAGACCCGTCTTTTCCACATAGCCAAAGCTACGGGAATTATTTCGAAGGAACAATCACAGTCTTTGCATACAGCAGAAGTTTGTTCTACTAATATAGGCATAAAACTTGGCCACTATGGTAGAGTATAACTCCATCATGGATAAGATTTTACTTAGATAAATCAAACAGTGTTATGTTACTGATGACCATGTTTCGAGCACAAACTATTGCTCATAATCATGTCAAGACACCACTCACACAACGTTTTTCCTTCATTTATGTACATGAGTGAAACTGATGACTAGATCAAATAAAGTATAATTATATTTTAATAGTTTACACACAATGATAAGTTTTGTTATTGGTAATATTTCGAGCAAAATTACCAATAACAAAACTTATCATTAAAATATGATTATACTTTATTTGACCTAATCCACAATGCTCAAACTTTTTACCGATGACTAGACATTTGCATAAAATCAATATAACATAAAGTACATTTGGAAATATTGTTAGTGAAGTACAATAAGATGGGAAATAAGATGTGAAATAAACAACTTGTTAGAATGTTATAATCTGAAATGAATACATTTTAACATTATTTACTATCCTCTGATTTGACTGGTGGTAATATTATCTTCCATATTTCTGGTATTTGCATTGAGTCATTTCTGTTGTATGTGTCGGTTGTAGACTCGATAAACAAGAATTCAGTAATGAACCTCTCCCCCCACCTAACTATATTACCTCTTAGAATTTTAACTCTTTCCCACCGTATTGTGTGATTATGTGTTAATGCATGCGGTACAACTGATAAGTTTTTTTTCTTAATTACTTATCTTTTCAGGGTCAACCATTCTTATCTTAACTAAATTCTTACGCTCCGACAATCTGACCTATGTGGTTGACCTAACTCACAGTCACTGCTAAGTATTTTGTAAATTATGTTACTTTGCTTTTAATTGGGTCCACTGGGTCCTTTAGCCTACAGAGCTTGTCTCTGAGTGTGTCTGTAGGTTTGAATGCCACTCTAACTCCTGCTTTATTCAGAATCCTACATGGGGTCTCAGATGTCCCCTCTTTATATGGTATAGCTGTAAATGCCTTATATTCTCTCTTATTTACGTTATCACTAATAGTTTCACAAGTATTTTTATTTTGCTTTTTGGCCTTTTCCGATCCTGCTAATGAATTTTATAGGATAGTTATTCAAAACCAATCAGCTATTGGTCTGTTTGTTTCATTTCATCATTTAGGTCTTTTTTGTAGTATTACTTGGTGCCATTGCTCTGTTTGCTAGACACTTAACTAAGCCTGCCTTCACAGATAACCGATGAGATGAATCAAGTGTCTAAACGTCGATTAGAATACTTCTGTACCTCCCTCCGCTAGTTCAATTTCACAATCTAACTTAGTGAAATCTCCTTGTTCATTTTGCGAATCAACTGAGAATTTTATTCCCTTTACTAGTGATTTTACATGTGTAGAGAAACTAGACTGTGATATGTTCTTGTGC